ACACACAGTAATACATGTTGGAACTACTGTTATGTTTTTGGAACATTTCCGAGACATTGCGACACTGGTTCTAAGGCAAGGTGCTGTCCTGTGAATGTTCCCTTCCAGATGTGGTGGAGCAGCCGCAGTCAAAGAGAAAATCTGTTACAACTGTACTTCACGAAACCATTTAAATATCGAAATTTATACAGAGTATCTTTTTGTTACATGTTTATATAAAGAGACCTCGGTCACAACATAAATTTGAGCAGGGTCTAAATTTGAGTTAAGATACATTTTTAGTTAAACACATAGCAATGCTCTTTTTAGATTATAATTAAAATCAAGAGGTGTCAATATGCACATGCCCTTGTGTTTGGTAGAGGCTGTCAGAAAAATTGAATTCCCTTCAGAAACAGCTTATAGATAGCAGTTCTTCAAGACAGGCTTCCTGCGGTGTTTTTTTCGCATTCACCAAAAAATATTTTTCAAGGTTAAGGGATCATTTCATCTTCTTTTCTTTATTTTTTCCTATTTCTTCAGCTTATTCAAAGTTACAATTGCAGCTGCTCAATATATAAAGGCCAGCAAGAAATAATATGAGGCATGAACTCTATTTAGACGACAGCCTGCAAAGCATTTCATTCTTTATTAAAAAAACCATAAAAGTAATTACTAGATCACCAGTGTGTGTGTGTGTGTGTGTGTGTGTGTGAAGTCATAGATATATGACTTCAAACCACAGCTCATGAAATTTTCTCATAAACAAAAAGCCATGTCTCACAAAAGGCAACATCTTACCTGCTCTGCCCCCAGTGTAACCAGCGAGCTCTAGTGATAGAGGCACAGAGAGGTGAGATATGGCTGGTAATTAAGCAGCCTGAATATGCAGAGAAACAAGCATCACTGAGATTTTAACATTTATTTTCTGGAGCAATTTACCAACTATGTCACGTGAGGAAATGGCTCTGAACAAATAACTATGCTAAATGAGCTCAACAGACAGATTTTTAATTTCTGTTTTGGTTTCATTCTTCTGGAAGTTTTATGGTCACTGTTTCAATAAAGAAAATATAAACCGTCTTTAACAGGAAAGCTTGGAGCTTACTTTTTTATAAAGCACATGTTCACCTCAACGCTTATCGATTATTTAGATCTTCCTCATTCTTGTATGTGGGAGCAAGAGTGATGTTCTGAGAAGGATCCACAGAACTCTTCAGTGTGAAAAGCAGCTCTGAGGGATTCAGACGCACCAACTGAGTCTTTTACTTGTTTCCCCGGCACCCTCAACCTCTGATTTTTAAGAACCTTAGGGTCAGTTTAGGAGCCCTGGGGGTCATGCTCACTCTCTGTACTTGCGGAGATGGAGGAGGCTTTCTGCTCCCAAAGGAATGAACAGGCTTGGAAACTTGTCCTACAGGGTTGCTTTGAGTAGGAATAGCTCGGCAGAGTCAATTCTTCAAAAGATGAAAATCTTTTAGTCTACGTGACAAAAGACTTGGTCTATGAATTGAGTTTGATAAGCTGACTCTGTTGCAAAAGTGTGAAATTAAAAAGAATCTGCCTTTTGAAATAAGAATAGTCATCTAATATCGAGCTGATTCCATGTAAACTCAGTCACAACTAGTCAATACTACTTGTTTTATTCTGGAGAATTTTCAGTTTTCCTGAATAGGAAGAGGATGTTACCTAGAGAAAACTAGACGTTTAAACAGATATTTAAAAGCAACAGAGCTTACTCAGTTCAGTCCTGTTACATTTGAACAAATCGCATCCTTACTGTCTAAGGTAAACATTTTATTAGGAGGATAGATGACAAGGAAAGCCAAGGTTTCTAAGGATAAGAAGTACATGCTCATGACATATTTCAGGAAAAACACCTTTATGAGGTATCTATCTCTTTATTCTTAATGAAAGCATTTATTTTCACTATACTACTGCATTTAAAAGGGGACTGATTCTAATATTTAATGGCTCCCAAACTCTGAGACCAAGTAAATAATATTTTATTCTCCTGTCTACCCACCAATGATTCAATAAATATCCATGACCAAAATAGAAAGGGTGAATGGTACCGTGATAACTACTTAACATACACAAGTCAAGTTGATTCTGACTTGTGGCTGCTTGAAACGACCAGCCCCTCTGTGGGAGAAATCTGCTCCCATAAAGTGTACAGACATAGAAGGCCTGTGTGGCAGTCTTACTGTCCTACAGGGTCAGGATGAGTCAGAATTGACTCAATGGACCTGGATTTGGCTTTAGTGTAACAAACCTATCCTACTTTATTCCATTTCCGTTCCCTGACCAGGTAGCACCAAGGCATATTGAAAAAACTGCAATGGTGAATGGCTCTAAGGGGCCATGAAACACAAGGCTCACAGCAGATATTCACCCACGGTGTCAGGTACAGTTGAGGAGGGCGTGCATTGAAGGGAAGCATCAGGGCTCGAGAACAGCTATTACGAACGCTGTGAAAATTCTGGCTATTATAGCTTAAACATAAAACGTCTTTCATGTTCAGATAATTTAGAACTCCGGGTGAGAGGTCCTCAAAAGCTAAATTTTAGTTGTGGGAGTAGTGATATCCTGAGGATAGGGGAATGGGGTAGGGGGAAAGGGGGAACCCATTACAAGGATGGATATATAGCTCACCCCCGAGGGGGATGAATAACGGAAATGTGGGTGAAGGGAGACAATGGACAGTGTAAGACACGAAATAACAACAATAATATATAATTGTTCAAGGATTCTCGAGGGTGGGAGGGTAGGGGAGGGAGGGGAAAAAAGAGAAGCTGATACCAGAGGCTCAAGTAGAAAGAAAATGTTTTGGAAATGTTGATGGCATATCTACAAGTGTGCTTAATACAATTGAATAATGAATTGTTGTAAGATTTGTAAGAGCCCTCCAATAAAAGGATTAATAAAAAAAATAGAAAGATAAAAGAAAAGTAATGCATATTTCCATCTTAAGTCACATTGCCCTTAGCATTGACTTATTGAAATATGGTAGTTGTCCAAACTTCATTCTTTTTGGGTTCTGTTGCCATGCATTGTGTTTTGAGACTGGGAATGATAATATTAACAGTAATAAATATAAATGGATAGATATTTTTAAAAGGATAAATTTTAATTTAAATATAATTGAGGTTCTGACCGACAAAAATTGCCTATTGATAACTCAAGATACGACTGTTGAAAAGGAAGGGTTTAGATGTATCACTGGTGATCAACATACAAGTATAAACTGTATAAGTATAAACATACAAGTTAAAACTGTACTTACCATTTATTGGGTATATATTGTGTTGCAAGTACTAGTGGGTATTCTAAGTACCTGTCTTATATAATTCTCAATAACTTAAGAGGGCCAGTATTATTCTTATTTTATAGAAGAGGCAACGCATGCTTAAGAGTGCCCTTGGTTTCAACTCACAGTGACCTGATGTGTATCATGAACCACTGCCTGGGTCTATACCACCCGCACATATCACTGTTGTTTGAACTCGCTGAAGCAGCCACTGTGCCAATCCATTTCCTCAACAGTCTACCTCTTTTTTTAGACAGTCTACTTCTTTTTTACCGACCTTCACTTCACTACACATGATGTTCTTCTCTAGCGACTAGTCTCCATTGATGACATGCCCAAAGTAAGTCTCTGATCCTTGCTTCTAAGGCGTATTCTGGATGTACTTTTTCCAAAGGCAGATTTATTTGTTCTTCTGAGAGTTCATGCTCATTTTAATATTCTTTACCAACACCATAATTCAAATGCATCAATTCTTCTACAGTCTCTCACTGTCCAACTTTCACATACATCTGAGGGGAATGAAAATGTCACAGCTTGGGTCAGGTGCAACCAATCCTCAAAGTGACATCCTTGCTTTTCGATACTTTAACAAGGTCTGGAATGCTGAAGAGTAGTCCTAAGTAATTTGCTGGTTCGACAGGTGATTAAAAAATTTCCAAGCTTACATTCAACTCTGGGACTGCTTGGATTCTTAATAAAATAGCTGCTGCTTCATAAGACCTGTTCTAAGAAAGAAGGTGCTTGCTAGCAATGATGTGATCTTGGATTCAGTGTTTAGATGCAGGGATATTACAATGTCTAGGTTACTCTTGTCATTTTGTAGAAAAACCATAACTGACTATCCCCAAATAGGACCTAAGCAGAAATCCTAAAATGTATTTGACGATATCAAGTCAGTAGTCACCAAGATGTTGCTTCTATGGAAAAACACTTTCCAAATTGCAATCAGTAATGAACAGAATTTCTCCATTAGAGCTGCCTGATAGAAGGTGTTTACCTTAAATAATTGCCTCCAGGAATTATAAATGGGCACAGACGGAATACGTATGTTACTTCACTTGTCTACCAGTAGGGATCACTTTAAGCTAGGCTCTAGTTCACTTTAGGGCCTGGTTGTAGAGGTCAAGTTCCAAATACACAGAACATTTCACCTAGGACCAAAATTGGCAGTTCCTCAGGCACTTGCCTCTGGCTGCTTTTATCTTACGCACCCTCTTTCTCACATTGTCTCCGACAGCAAATGATTCCCTACACATACCCCTTTAGCTTGTTGCAAGAACCAGTTTTGTCTGGCTTTCAACCTCATTACACTTAAACTGAGTTGTCTGAGCCTACCCCGTGGGGCCCCATTCCCAAACATTGCTGTTTGGAACCAGGTCTGCTCTGAGATAGATGGAAGCAGCCACACAGCTGGAGAATGTCTTTGGCCTGAAACATGCAAAGAACAGTAACCCGGAATGGCATTTACAACGCCAACAATCCCACTACTCGGCTGCAAATCGCCATTTCCAAAATTTGCATGAGAAGTTCCAGGAGTTGACATTCTCAAGTACAACCTAAACACTCAAGAAGGAAGGAATGACTTCAGAAATTTCTGGGTAGAGCTGAACAAGGCTATCAACTTCCAAGTTCATCAGAGAATGATTCCACCAATGAGCAATGTCCTTCGTCCAAGGAGTAATAATCTTTCAAGGACAAAAGGGAGACTTACCTTTGGAAGTTAGCGACCAACTTGACGTCAGCGATGACAATCTTATGCTCGATAATCATGTGCTTCAGAAGCTTGTCTTGGTCAGCCATGGGAAAATGTTCTTCACAGAAAATACAAGGCACAGATGGAGAACCTTCTGAAGCGGTGGTGCCACCTGGACCTTCTGGCAGGGACAGGGACTCCAGGATACAATCCTTACTGCCTGGGAGAGGCGACACAGAGAAAAAGATAAGCTGGAACCAACTTTTAAGGAAGATTTCTCACCTCCCGTGTTAAAAGGATCCTAAAGTTATTTACATGACTTCCAAACAGAAAACCACAGCGTGCTGTAAAGGTGGGTACCTTAACATCATCTCAAACAGCTTCCTTAAGCCAGAGGCAGCAAGGATGACAACGTGGCCCACAATTCCCACTCACTAGCTTGAATGAGGGAAATCCTTTGAGCAGGGCAGCTGTTCAGCCCTTCTTCTCGGACACTGGCCAAGGGCAGCAATTCTGGAGGTACTCGGAGTGGGGAGGGTGCAATACCCTGGGCTAAGGTTCTGAGGCCCGACTGAGACCTGTGCCGGGAGTCCTCACACTGAGAGGCATAAATGGTATGTTCTGAGGCAACAGAGGAGCCAGGCCAGTCTTTTAAGCTGCTTCCCACTGCACCTGCACACTCTTCCTAGTTCCCATTATTTGTCATGTCACGGAGGCCGCTCTCACAATGGGATGATGGAGCCTCGGCTAGGTGTCAGTTTTCTGTGCTGATGTGCGCCTATCATTTGCTTATCGAGCAATCATGTGTCATGACTGAGGTCCTCGTGAACAAGGACAAGAATGCTCATTTATGAGACATAAATGGGTAAACGGTTTTCCTATCCGTGCTCGTGCCTTTCCTGACATCGTGGATAGTGTTGTTAAGAGTTGAGGTTTGTAGCTCTGCATTTGAGGTCTTAATCTAGCAGGTTGAAGAGTTCTCTTCAACGTGCCAAGAAGGCAGGCTGGGCCTGTCACTGATGGAGGCTACTGAATAGTCAGTGAGCCGGCAGCTCCCCGGTGGTGGTGGCAGGCACTGTCCAGTTGATTCTGAACGCAGTGACCTCATGGGACAGGGTAGGGCTTGTTAAGCTGTCCTCGGTATTGGAGTCAATGGTCATTTCTGTGGCCCAGGGAGCCCTGGATGGGTTCGCACTGCCAACCTCTCTGTCAGCAGCTGAGTGGTCTCGGAACCAGGTCCCTTAAACAGGCAACCAGAAGAAGGCATCTCACCTTGGAGGAAGGGCAGAGAAGCTTCTTTAGAAACTAAGATAGCTGTCCCACAAAAGTCTGTGGAGTTATGTTACTTATTAATTATTCTAGCTTCATGACTATTATTTTATCTTACTTTTTAAAGCCTGCCTAATTGGATTATTGTTCGCATCACGAGTGCGCTGCTGGACAGATGATGTAAGAGCAAACGAGGGGCAACATTCACTCACTCACAAAACCAAAATTCACTGCTTATCTACCGAGTGCTGGTCTCTCCTCTCCAACGCTGCATGCTCCCACATGCAGGGATGAAGGGCTCTCAGTTTGTCTGGTGATACAGAGACGGGGAAAGAATGGAGTGTGACGACAGAGATGGGATTGGGCTTATGGGGGCATGGGGATGGGAGCCACCATTGAGCTGGACAAGAGACCTCTCCATAGGACGGCACCTTGAATGTCACCCAGACCTGCTCTGCAGAGCTTCATGTACTAAATCATGCTGTTTATTTCCATTACATCAAATTATTTATTAATGATAGAGAAGGCCAAAAAACAGGGTATACATTATAGAAGGGAGAATATTTAAGGTATAGAAGCACTTTAGAAACATGACTAACAAAATAAGTACACTTCCAGTTGTTCTAATGCATTTATTAAACTAAGCATTCTGGGAGAATCCTGCAATTGATGAATGACTGCTACCTAGTAGGTATCGGATAAATAAATGTTCGCTGAATGATGAAACTTACAATCATGGGCCCATCATTATTGCTAATTTCTCAGTCAGATGCAGTCACTGTCATCAGGCCAATTCTGACTTATAGCAACCACAGAGGTCGCGCAGAACTGCCCCTGTAAGTTTCTGAGACCGTCAATCTTTCTGGGGCAGAGTCTCATCTTTTTCCCTTGACTGCTGTTCCTACGGAAGTCAATTCCAGTGAACAAGTGCAGCTGCCTGACAGGACAGTTCTTCCTTAGTCTGGGGGTAATCCACCCATGAGTACAGCCAGATCTTTGGGGATCTAGGCTGTCGTGTAACAGGCCTAGTGGTAATAAATAAATATTGCAAAAATTACACTGAATTCTGAGATAATAACCCACATTATTGACTGTCATAAAATTATGTGCATTTAGCTAGGAAGTTTTTTTTAAACTCTTTACATGGAAGGGATGAAGAGTAAATTGTACTACTCGATCATTGGGTTTTATATTTGACAGCTCTGAATCCTACATATACACGGCGAAAGCAAAACAAAAAATGGATTTTTCTTTCAAAGCTATGTATTTAAAAATTTTTAGAAAACAATCTTATCACCTCCAAAGTATTCTCCATTAAATTTGTCAAATCTGCGATTCCATTCTGAGAAACATTTTTCAAACTGTTTGGAGGACTGACAGCACCTCTCTCATTTTGTCCTTCGCCCCTTCCACATCATCAAATCGCTATCCTTCCCAGTCGCTCTGCATTCTCCGATACAAAAAAAAGTCACAGGCAGCAAGGTCACGTAAGTAAGGTGTGTGGGCCAGAGGGCATGCTGGGTGCTGTCAAGCAGTGGCACACTGGGATGGCTGCTTGAGCAGGCGCATTGTTGGGGTGGAAAGAGCAGGCCCCATCTGCCTACAGATCAGGCCTTTCTTGTCGCACACGGTTACGCCATCTTTTCAGAACCTCTAAATAGAAAGCTTGCTTAACAGGCTGACCTGGTGGAATGAACTCCAAATGTCCTAGGAGGCAACATCTTTGTCCATTTGGCAAGTTGATGGGTGTCCATGAAAAGGTTTGTCCTCAGTCAACATTTAACCTTTTTTGAAACGAGAAAACCACTTGTACACGTGAGGTTTTCCCACAGCACTGTCCTTGTGACCTGTGTTCAACATCTCAACAGTTTCTGTGGCATTTTTCCTGAGCAGGAAACAAAATTTCATAGCTGCATGCTGTTCTCTTAAATCGGAAATCACAAAAAAATGAGGTTTAAGCTCAACTGCTTTTATAAAAAAAATTCACTGTGACCAGAGAAAACCTTCTCAGGTGATGCCACCGGGTACACTAACTCAAAGTGAGTTGCTTGATGCTTGCCTAGTGGGAAAAAAGCAAACTACGAAAGCTTTCTGCCCAGAGGAGCTTTATTCCGTTTTTTTTTTTTTTTTTTTTTTGGGGGGGGGAGGGCGTAACCCTTCTTATATTGTAGTTTAGAGGAGTGGTTCCCAAACTTGTTTATGCCTTATCACCTGAAGAGCTTTTAAAAAATAGAACAGTACAGAGCAGCACACACTTGGACCCTTGGAATTTAATAAAGGCATTCAGTTTGATGAGAAAAAAAAGAAGAGAAAAAAAAGAACAGTACACTGAGGGAATGGGCTATAAATTGTGCTGCAAACCCTAAGGTCAGAAATTCACAACCACTAGCCCTTTCATAGAGAAAGGTGATGCTTTCTACACTGTACAGATATACAGTCTTAGAAACCCACAGGGGCTGTGTCTACTCTGTCCTATAGGGTGGCTACATATAAGAATGCTACTTGGGAATTAATAATTCAGAGGCTGATCATATGGGTCTTGTGGTTCTCCTGACCACATAGTGGTGGGTATCGACCTCATGTAAAAAGTCCCTACGTTAGGTGATAATGCCTTGTGACACAGACTACTGCATAATCTAGTCTGTCCTAAAAGGGAGTTCCCCCAGATATTAAGCAATGGATCAGCAGATATAACTCAGTAGGATTTACCTAATAGCTTCCTTGTTTCCAGCTGTCATCACAAAAATCAGATCTCTGTGCTATAACGCATGCTAAGAAGGCAATGGATGCAGAAATAAAAGCAAAAGGAATTAAATTACATCTAGCACCTTTCAGTAAAGAGGCGAAACATCTTGGAAATTCTGTTTTGGCCCCAAATCAGCTGTGCACATTTGCTACAAATTGATAACACAAATTATCTGCTCCAGTTCTCACTCTGAACAGCAATTTTGTTGAGACGAACTGTAAAGTACCCACCCCATCCCAAGGAAGCGGGGTTTCCAGGAGATCCTATGCTGATTATTAAATTTTATTTACTCAGAGGAAGCTCTGCAAAGTGCAGATCATTACTCTGGGACAGTTCTTCCACAGCTGAATGTGCACATGGATCACTTGAAGATTTGGTTACAAGGCAGAGCTGTATTCAGTAGGTGTGGTGGTTGTGGAAATGTGCCAGCCAATTTCCAGCTGCCCTGAGCGTAACTGACAGGCCTCAGGTGCTGCCGTCTGAAATCCCATCGGCAACAAGGCCAACCATCCTTACTAGGGCTGGATGCAGCATAAATACCGTTTTGGTGAGAAGTGGGACCCCTCTGATGTAGATTACAGGGCACAAGCACCAGTGGCATGGCAGGAACTTGCTTAGAATGAATGGTACTGCAGTCTGAAAATGGATTCAGCCCTCCTGCCCTCTTTCTCTCCTCCACAGGGGCTGGACCTACACTGCCACTCCTCCGGCTCCCCCTCCCTGGTGCTTTCTCCCCGTCTGACATGACAACTCTGAGCCCCGCGAGGGCTTCTTGGCCGGCAGGACTATACAAACTAGGCGAAGGAAGGGGAAAGGGGTGTGGCATTTTGCCCATGCGACCACAAATCACACTTTGAGTTGCAAGATTCTATTTAACCCAAACCCAAACCACTGCCATCAAGTTGACGCTGACTCACAGTGACTCTTGGAAACCCCAAGGGAGCAGCTCTACTTTCTCTTATAAAGTCGCTATAAGTATGAGGTACTATATAGAGACAAAACCATAACCCAAACCTACCCCACTGCCATGGGGTCAATTCTGGCTCACAGCCATCCCATGGGACAGGTAGAACTCTTTTTTAGGGTTTCCAAGACTGTAAATCTCTATGGGAACAGACCCCTTCCTCCTTCTCCACAGACCAGCTGATGGGTTTGAACCATGGACCCTGTGGTCAGCAGCCCAATGCTTTCCCCACTGTGCGACC